ATGATGCATTTTCACAAAAATTTGTTTTCCTTTTTTTTTTTTAATCAAATACAGTATGAATTTATATTGATTCCTCCCTAACAAAAAAAATGTTAGAAAAATCTTACATTATCAGATGTATTTTAAAATTTACATAAAACTTCCAATTCTTTTGCAAGATCTATGGTGGCCTAAAGTTTTGAATGATCCCACGGTTCAAGTTCAAGATTCAGGACACCAGATTTTTTTTTAAAAGCTTCCAAAGAGTTTGTAGCTACACTAGACAGTATTTGTTTTACTGGACACATAGACCCCAAACTGTCTTCTATATGAGATTCAATGCATCTCTTTCTTATTTTAAAATCAATAAATGAGTATACTCAAATTGTCAAGATAAAAGTACTAGAGAATGTTTCTTTTTGATTGGGTTTCAAAACCCAAATTAACACAATAACACCAAAAGATTTATTATTTCTAGTTTTCTTCTTGTTTATGCCTAAAAACTATAGAGCTCCTGGTTATCTTATCTATTTCTACTCTAAAAATATGTGTTTAATCTACATATTAAGTTTTTAGGTAGTGGTAACTAATAAATTTGTGTATGTAAATGAGGATACACAAGTAAAAAGCAAGTTAGTTAGCAATGATAATGGACAATGTTATGGAGTTGCGACCGTTGTTCAAACAACAGCGCATTTGGTTCTCTAAATAGGAATCCAAATTGGATTATCCAATCATTTGGGAAGTGAATATAGTATAGTATTACATTCGTAACATGCATTAAACCCACAAATAATTTAATAAGCAAAGCCTAGTACCAATGATTTACATAATGCTGTTGAAGAAGTTTATGTAGATAAACATATAGTACTACACTAATACTACTGTAGTTTAATAGATAGGTGGAATATTTTTTGTCATTGTTATAACAAAATGTAGAATTATTGAAAACGTAATGAAGAAAAATGAAAATGGCTTTTGGCGGGGAGCGAAAGAATGGCATGTGGAGAAGACAATGTCACATGCGACATGTGAAAACGTTATGATGTTTGGTCTGAAACGGCGCCATTATGTGATTGATACATTGCATTTCCCTCTCACATTAACTCATCAACCCATTCCATTCTTTGTTTCATATTTAAAATGTAAATATCAATAATCCTGATGAATCATAAACTTGTCGATCATATTAAATGCTCCTCCACATTGTATGGTGGCCAAAAAATACAAACCAAGATATATAACTTGAATTAAACCGAAATTGTAAATCAATTGGTTTTATTAAATAAAAACATACTAAAACTGAATTTAGTGTAACAGAACAAAGTTTAGTTTTTTTTTAAAAAAAAAATTTAGTTATATATTTTGTAACACATGTAACTAACTATACCGCTGGTCGATTTTTTAACTAAAAAATTAAATTTTAAATTGTATTTTTTAATATTGTTTATTTTGTTAAGTGTTTAAGATTGTATAATTGTATGTTGATTGTTAATTTTAAGATTTCATCCGTGATATTAATATCGTCCCATATTAATATCGATCCAAACTCGTCCCACTATATAACCCCGTCCCGTGAAATTAAACATCATTTTGTTATTTTTAATAATATTTTATTTAATAGACATATAATTCGAGTCAATTTAAAAGTTTGGTTTTATATATATATTTTTAAATTTTAGTTAATAATAATTAATTCTATATAATGATTTATGAATTAATTGCGTATGACCGACGGTCAAGATTGAAGATTAAAAACCGGATTAAGATTTGAATGGTCACGATTAAATGTAGGGATTGTTGAGATCTTTTAAGGAAATCGAATTGAATATGGATGTAATTGTGGCAAAGATTAGTTATGCTTAATATATTAGGTTAAGATTTTTGGAAATGATTTTTAAGTTAATATCTTTGATTTAATTTTGAAAATTTAAATAATTAATGTTAATGACATTTGATCGTAAATAAGTCGAAACTGCAGGATTTATTTCATAAATGTCTCCATATATTATTTGATGTTTTTTAAATTATTAATTTAAATATTTTATTTGACATATATGAATTTTTTTGTTAATTTAAATGTATATATTGATACGCCGTACACCGCGGGCCTATATTTTTTTAAAACAAATTTTTTTTTTAGGATGATCTATAAATATATGCTATTGTTTTGTTTGATTTAAATGTATAGTACACCACAAACGATATTTTATAACTAAAATTTTGAAATTTTAAGTTGTATTTGTTTTGTTAATATTGTTTATTTTGTTTAGTGTTTCAGATTGTATAATTGTATTTTGATTGTTAATTCTAGGATTTCACATGTAGTATATCATCTTGTATTAATATCGATCCAATCCCGTCAATAGAGTTATTTGGAAGTTTCCTATTTGTTTTTTGTTTTTTTTTTAATGTATGATTAGTTCCATAATTGTAGTGTTTTCTTTGAGTGAGTAGAAAACTTCTTGCTAAGCAAGTATAATTAAAATATATTCATAATATAATATATTTGGAAATGATTTAGGAAAAATATAAATTAGCTATGTATTATTATGCTAGTAATATGATAGAGATTACCAATTTTATAGGAAAGAAATCGATCACATTTATGTTTATTTTTAGCATTCAAATTTTATTTTATTTTTTGGTAATAAATCTTTAATGCCATAACTAAAAAACGTTAGAACAAATTAATTTTTTTATTTGCATTAAATTGAAAGCGTGTAACAAATTAAATATTGATTTGTTAGAACAATATATCAATTTATTGAGTTTTTTAGTTATGGCATTAAAAATTTATCATTGTTTTTTTTGTTAGCATTTAAATAGGATACCATTTGATTTTAAAAATATGTGTTTGTTATAACTACATATACGATTTCTATATTTTCAAATCAATAATTTAATTTTGTTTAAATGTTTTTATGGAATAAAGCCAATTAATAATGAAAGATCCTATTGAAGATTTTCATTGAATATTCTCCAAAAATGTATACATATAGATAAGGATTATTTGAATATTTCATTGAATTGTGTTAGCATTAAATATATAATTATATTTGTAATATTTCTATATAGAAATAACTATTAATATATTGAAAATATTACCAATAAATGATTAAAAATAATTAGTTTCTATTTGCTAGATGTATATTCGAGATTATTTGTAGATTTATTATCTTTTTATATAGAAACAAATTTGACAATCTACAAAAATCTTTCATATATTATTTATAGAACTATATGTTTTACTTACTTTTTGTAGTTACTACAAAATTGTGAAAAATATATTATCAATAAAGAATTACAAAATCGAAGAAATCGTGACTTCAATGTTCGGATTCTTTTGGTGATTAAAAGAATCAAGAATTGAAAATAACACCAAAAATTAATTTGAAAAAATGATAATATTGGTAAAAGTGTAAACACGATAAAACCTTAAACCTCAAAATATTTGATCAACATTCATTTTCATTTTCATTCTGACTCCCCAAAAAATATTAAAAATATCACAAGCCATGAACTCCTCTCTTTTACTCCATCATCTTCTTCTCCACATCTCCATTATCTAGCAACATTCGACCACGATGACTTCCTCCACCACATCTTCTCCTCCACTCCTTGGCCCTCCTCCATCCTCGGTGACGATCCTCACCCAACTTTCGATTGTGTTGCCGTCATTGTATAACCATTTGTAGATTATTAGCAAGTCCTCCAGCAAAGTCGAGAAGAATATTCCCGGTGCTCCATCCGACTGTGCTCTTCCTAGTGAAGTTCATCTTTGTCTGTGAAGAAAAGAAAACACATGAATCTGAATAATGCAGAGTCAATCAATTATGAAAAAAAATTAAGGTTTGGAACCGTTCTGACGCTTGTCATGACTCATGACGACCTGAATTGAGCTATAACAATGAACACATTATCATCAACGACACTGTTTAGATTACAGTTAAAAGAATAGATTTAATGCTCTGCGCAGCAACTTACTTGAAGATCGAGATGAGCCATAGCCAAGAGTGTGTAGGTAATGCTATGAAGAAACATATAGCTGTAAATGCCCACACAACAACCACAATACCAGATCGAAATGATTTCTTTGTCTCATAACCATCCTAATGACGTAATATCTTGATAGGTTTAGACCTTGGAGGAATGCAAATGAAGCTTCCATTGGAAGATGAAAGTTTCTTTTGCTAGGAAAACGTTGTTTTGGAGTTCGACGATGTGAGAAGAGGCCAATAGCTCGAGTATTTATAGTGGTTTAAGTTAGGTCACAAAGATCTTGGTGACCAAGCATAGTATCTTTGAAATCATAACAAAATTGGAATAAAATATATGTAATCGTTTAATGTAAAGGAATATGCCATGAAATTTGTGTTTAAAGGTAGTAATTAGTTTGGATAGATAAGATTGTATGAATATTATGCATCATAATTAAGGAAAAACGAATTGTTTTATAATTAATAAATAGTATTCATATCGTATAATATCATAACAAAATCAAATTCTAGATAAGGAAACAAAGATATTTAATAGTAATTAGTTAAATTTCCATAATAAAATCGACAATGTTAAGATAATATTTCAATACCACGATTTTTTTAAAGATATGAGAAAAAATTAGATTAGGAAATAAGATTAAACCGAAATATAAGAGTAATTGTAGTCATAAATGGCGATTTTTTTTATTACAACATTCCTAAAATTTCTTATCCAAGATCCGGATAGAATTAAACCCGGGTAAAACCCGGATCCAAATGAATTAATGCAAAAAAACCCTGTAAAAATGTATATGTAGATTAAATATATTTGACCGAAGTTAAATCAAACAAACCGAGTTACATATGGTCTGAGCTGGTTTTAGTCTCCATAAAACTGATAAAACTAAGACCAGAAAGAAAAAAATCAAACCGAACTAAACCGTAAATTGAATGTCCTATGCAAAAAGAAGATACAGAGACAAAAATAATGTTGACCAAATGCTTAATCTTTAGTCACGTCTAAACACAAAGTGCTTAATCTCATTATCCCCTAAACACAGCATTAATTAACTCTTTCAGATTCTTGCATCCGATTATCTCAATCTCTTTCAAATTCAGCGCCTTTAGTGACTCCTCCACTGATTTGGGAACCACACATTTGTTAAACCCTAGCTTTGCCAATGTACTTACCCTTTTCTCCATTCTTGGTACCTGTACCATTAAACCTTCAATCATATTCATCCAAATTCTAAATAACAATTAGCTGATTCTTTTATTGCTTACCGTGCGAACCTCGCCCCCAAGACCAATCTCACCAATGAATGCTACACCGTGAGGAATTGGAAACTCCAAGAAACTGGAATAAAAGAATAGTGATTCATTGGCAGCTAGGAACTAAATAACGCGAATCTTGCAGATTTTACAAGAAAGTTTTTAAGAGCACAAAGAAGTAAATAAAATACTCACCTGCTACAAATTGCTGCTGCTATTGCAAGGTCGCCAGCAGTCTCAGAAAGAGCCATTCCGTTAGCGACGTTCAGAAAAATCCCCTGAAGAAAAATATTATTATTATTAGCAGGACTGTGATCACTACGACACTAAGTGAGCATTCACATAGATAATGAAGATTGGTGTATAATTTGCTTCCTATCATTTATTATATAGCGCAACTATGTTATTAGAGGTTCAAGAATCACATGTTGAGCAACATTGCAGAGTGACACAAAATTATCAAATCTCTAAACTTACATTTTCCTGTATTCTAAGACCAGCTTGCTTCATAAGAACCTGTGATTTGATAAGGCAGAACCAAAACAAAACGATAGCAGTTATCAAGAAGAAAAAGTAGAAGAGAGGCATGTATCAAACGGAATTTGTTACTGTACAATAAGAACAGACATAGCTAGTAGTAGCACTCACTGCAATTATCATATCAGCTCTGCTTGCTTGAACACCATTGACATGCCTTGAAACTGTTGGGCCAGGCGAACACAACGCCTACATTATAACAAAAACCAATGTTTAAACAAGAACTACAATACTTTGCTTCAAGGTCCACAAGCACAAATGAGGCAGCTAATGATGAGAGGTCAGCATTGTCCCCTATTCAGAACATACATATTACAACAATGTAAGTCATGATTCTCATCATATTGAATGACAATAGCAAAATGTATAAAGACTATCAAAACACAGTTTCACTTATCGAGCCAGGGCCCTTTTACAATCTGTTGGAATTCTGAAGCAGAATAAGAGAATGAAGCAGAATTATCTGGTTATCTACCTGAACTTCAATTAGGAAACTCCGAGATCCATCCATAACAACTGCGACAGCTAATCCAGCTAAAACATCTGAATCTGGGTTCTGTTGACTAAGATATATGCCACTAGGGTTTGAGACTACTTCAAGTCCTGAGTTTGCCATTTCAAAAACTCCAAGCTGACAAAGGAGATAGCCATGATTTATTCGATAATTCTCAACTCGAAATAAAAATAAGTGTACAGATAACAAGCAAACTCGAACCACATAAGGAATAAAGGTAACACAATCCACAGAATAAGATGCTTGAACTAGCAAGTTCTTGAGAAAAAGGGAAACGAGGCAGCAAGGGAAAATAATAATCATGATTTAATCTGAAATGGCATATTATCAAGGATTTGTATACATACTTCATCAGTCGACCCAAATCGATTCTT